GAGAGAGAGAGAGAGAGAGAGAGAGAGAGAGAGACATATTCATAATTTTGTTGAGTAAAAAAAAAAAAAAAAAAAAAAAAAAAAAAAAAAAAAAAAATGATCGCAGTGTTTTCGACAAAATCAGCATTTATTTTTCACTTTATAAGTCCAGGGTTATTACAATAATAAAAAGGAGCGACCACATCGAGCGCAATATTGGACACGAACTCGTGGTGAACTTCACGCTTCACTCTGCGTATTGATGTCATTTTGACCCGTCCTGAGAGACTCATATCTAACAGAACCTTGAAGTTTGTTCTCAAAATAAAATGAATAAAATGTTAAAATATCACAAAATAGACCCACGTGAGCGGTTCCAGTTAGTTTCCCCACCCAACCAATCATTCCCTTTTTATGTGCTATATCCTCCAGATATAATTATAACAATATTATAATAGTCCTACAGTAAAACACTATGATATGACTTGAATCCTTGCCACAGCTCAAATAACCGAAATGTATTTTTTTTTGTCTCTTTGCAAGTAGGCCTACTGAAAATCCTATTAATTTTTTTCATAAGAGTCTTACCAAAACAAATAGCTATTGTTTATTTTATCGTTCAAACCAGTGTATGGTTTTGGAAAATCTATAACGAGGTTTTAAGAAATATTATTCTTTTATTAAATACAGATAAAAACATTTTCAGTAATATCTTCCCGAAATTGCCAGAAATGTTTTTCGTTGTAAGGAGAAGAAACGCCCTTATTGAACCCTTCCTAACATTTCAGTTGTAGGAGTGGTAAAAATCGCGAAAAAAAAAAAATGCACCAAGTCTACTCGGGATCAGATTCTGACGTGTTTGTCATATTGATTGCATGTTACTGAGGCGGCAAAAGTGGCGACACTCGAAATCGCATTAAAAAGCAGGTATTGAGTGACATATTTTTTCATAAAGTGAACAAAGGATTATAAAAATAGACGCCAAACTCGGTAATAGGCCTACATGACTGCTTACTGCGGCTGCCAACCCCTCTCTCTCTCTCTCTCTCTCTCTCTCTCTCTCTCTCTCTCGATGAAAATTGTTTGATATACAGACGATTCTTGAGAGTAATTTGCTTTATCCATTTAATTCAGTGCTTCAACACTATTAGGAACATAAAATAGGAGGAGATGAGATTTGGGAGGAGCGGGGGGGGGGAGTGCGGTCGAGGGTAGAGGCTTGCATATCCTTCATTGAAAGACGACTTAGGAGAGAAAATTAATTTTATTCTAAATTGGGTTAATTGCATAAAATTAATCAAGTGAATGACAAGATTCTAAGGGCTCTTACCACGTTTTTTGTAACTTTTGGGCTGAATGTTTTGAACGTACTACAAAGGCGTGCACGGGAGGTGACAAGTACCACGCCCATGTTTTGCCATTTGTTTGTGACATTGACGTAATTGTAACATTAGCCTGTGTTTTTGTTACATGATATTAATCATGCAGTACACACCCTGGGAAAGCGGTATTGTTATTTCTAAACCCAGTATTGTGGACTCGTATCAAAGGCAAAACCCGGGAGGCCACCTCTTCCACGCCCACTTCTTCTGTTTTTGATGAAGTTGATGCAATCACAGCAGTAAAACTTTGTTGGCGTGAATAATGTTTAATTACATATCAAACGCTTCTTAGATATCATTTTGCTACCCCCTACCCCTGGAATATGTGGTCTTTGCAAAACTCAACAAGGGAGGTGACAAGGACCACGCCCCTTTTTCCGTACCGTGGTAAAATTTACGCATTTACGGCATTATTAGTCTGTGTTGTTATGCATTGAGATTAATTATCAAGTGATCACCCTGGGAAAGGCACATTGTCATCTCGTAACTAAACATTGTGAACTTGCTTCAAAGGCGAACGCGTGAGGTGTCGAGAGCCACACCCACTTTTTACTGCGTTTCAATGAAATTGGCGTAATTGTAGCGGTCAAGTGTCTTTACAAATGCGTTAATCAAATATTGTAATCAATCGAAATGAGACTCCCCGGGGTCTTTACCCCCAGGGGTAATCAATATGATTACACCATGGCCTAACCTTCGGGCTCCTTCGTAGGAAATCAGTCACAGTACAGTACTCGAATTTTCAACTTTATTTATTTATTTATTTTTTTTTTTCAGTTTTCATTGGCTAAAAAAGATAATTGGCATTAAATAGATAAAATGAGTTTCCAGTAATTTTTTAACTAAACATTGTAGACTTGCTTCAAAGGCGAACGCGTGAGGCGTTGGGAGCCATATCAACTTTTAATTGCGTTTCAGTGAAATTTGCGTAGTTGTTACAGCATAGAATGCTAGCAGGAAAATCTGTTCAAACATCATTTTCGGGTAAAATTAAACAATGCCTTTTGGTAATTCTCTTAGTTATACTACTTGAAACTATATGCTGGCATTTGGTCGGCTTTTGTGACAAAAAATTGACTTTGTATGCATCTTTAAAAGAAAGAAAAAAAAAAAAAGATTGCGAATGGGGTAATGAAAAGAGCACGCCCTGTTCGTGAACTGACGCATTATAACGACTGTATATGTTTTTATATTTAGATTCAGATTCTAATTTTGTTAATTATTTTTTCATTTTTTCTTTTATCAGTTGCAAATATTTTTTTTCTGTGGTGACTACAATCTTTCAAATCGATCATTGACAGCAGCCTAAACCAAGCCTGCTTTTAACTGTGATTTAGGAGACAAAAAAATGTGTTACTCATCAATGTTTTATTAAATATATCAATAATTAATCTTTTATCAGATACCACCCATCGCCTTCTGTCTACCCCCCGGCGCGTCTTTCTGAAAACCGCCGCGAGTTAAATTTCGACCACGGCAAGTGAAAAATGTGATAAAAATAAATTACGCTATTTATTTTTATTCTTAATAACGAGTTACCCCTTGGCAGTGGCAGGCTGCACTAACACCTCACCTTGCCCCTACCCCTCGATATATTTGGCCATTCCCAGCGTTAGAAGGTTGGTTGTAGAGGTTTGGGTAGGGGGGGGGACGTTTGTACGCATGCAAACCCAAACTTTCTCAAAGGCCTTTGAAGAACATTGAACCCGTCTTCAATCGATCTTTATAACCTTGCAGATGAAAGGATGACCGAATTGACTTTTCCACAAGTTAATTAGTTTTAGACTTTTTCCGTTCGATATGTCTACGATACCTCACCTAATCAATCAGGTATCGAATACTTCACATCTTGCGTGTTATGTTTACGGTGGAGAATTTCATGAGTAACATCGCCAGCACAAAGAGCACCCTGATTTTTTAGACCATGCCTCTGCTGTTACCAGTACCCTGGATCTCTACAACTCGGGTTGACAATATGATATATACAAGAAGACATTCGCGAATCAATAATATCACCTCAAACAGTAGGCGTTAAGTCAAGTTCTTTGAAAACGTTTTTAGCAGTGTTGAATTTCGTAAAAAATATCTAAAGATCATCAAAAACAACACAAAAGTAGGCCTACATATATTTTATTAAAGAAATATTATATAGCTCAGCTGTATTCCATCTCCGACTATAATATAATGACACCCAAAGTTCCAGAGACCTGAAAAACTAACCTCTATTATCAACATACCCCTGGAAATGGAAAGAAATGTTGATAATAAGGGAGATTTTCCTGAAACTGAGGGTACATGAAACATAACACAGTGTTTAAAAATCTAGATGACTATTAAACAAAGAATACATACTGGACCGCTTTCACACTCATGGTTTTTGGTCTTAGAATTAGTTCAGTTGTAACGCGGTCTATGACTCAGGTGTGTTCTACCTCATAAACCCAGAGTCTTAACAAGATTTTGTTCTAAGTGTACCTGATTTTCGAAAAAAAAAAAAAAAAAACACCTTAAATTTCTGTGCGTATGCCTCCAATCGTTCACTGTTATCTCTATAAATACCCCACAAACACACCCTGCGATTCAGACGTTAGTGAGGACCAACCTTTACTATGAGCATGTCTGTGCCGATTCAAGTAATCTTTTAAATACAGGGTACATTGGGATGGTTAAATCTGCTGATATACATTAATTGATTGTATTATAGATCACGCAGAGAGGTTATATACAGGGGTTAAGCGTGTATATATAGATATATATCATTTTTAAAAATAGGCTATAATTTAAAGCATCTGGATACATATTAAAAATATTATCTTATCATATGCTGACCTGCAGCATACATGTTGATAAATGTAGTGGATTTCATTGCCCAGGTTTTTTGTCCACTCAAGAGAAATATTTGTTTAACTTTGCTGGACCATAAATCACATTAAATTGTATTAAAAATTGAAAACTAATTTTCTAATAATTACTTGACTGTTAATCACAATCGAATTACTAGGAAATAATTTATCAAATCTAAAATTGTTCACTTTGTGAAAATTAGTTTTCATTTTGTATAATTAAAACCCAATCACAGAAAATCAAAAAATCATAAAATCATGATTTACAGAATATTTAACAAACAAAAAAGTGTTACTAAAAAGCATTAGTATAATCAAAATAAATTCCATGTATTGACTTAGAATACAAGACTATTAAAATTTTTAACTGAATAAATGACAATCAATATACTTCAACAATAAAATTGGAGAGATATCTGAATAATTGCACTACTACAAAGAAAATGCTACAGAAGTAGAAAATTCCCAAAAATATACAAAGAACCATGATAAGAAAACAATGGACAGAAGATTACACGACATGAATGCCATTCAAGTGGTTAACATTCATAAAATGTTTCATGTTTGGTTTATCAAAAATAGATAATGTTAGATATAATATGTCAGTTGCATTATCATATAACAAAAAATAAGAAAAGGATACACAATTGAATGTCTGGACGGACTATGGTGTAGTAGAGATATATCACATTTAGAAGGGCATTGGCAACAAAAGGGGCTATAAAACAAATTTACACCCTACAAAATGCTTGATGGGCAATGGTCATTAAGTCTCCCTTAAAATGCTGTTCAAATTACCAAAAATTACATATAATTATTCAATTTAAATTACTAGCATGAAGGAGTTATAAGAAAAATTAAATCCATCATATCATAAATGAACTGTACTATAGTGCAGGTTCTATTCATTCAATCAGAAAAATATGGTCTTTTAATGTCAAAAAGAACATAGGTCTAGAATGATTTCACAACATCATCGTTTGAAGGAAAATCAGCTGTCCCATTTAGGCTGTCTTCTTTTCTTCTGGCTCTGGAGTTGATGTCCTTGACCTTGGCTTTGACCCAGTAGATGACCTTGACTTGCCTGACCCTGCAGTGCTTGGCCTTGACCCTGGGTCCTTGAAAAACACTCCTGCAGCCCCCACAGATGGGGATGGCGGCTTTAAGATCTGCGAACCTAAACCTGCATCGCCATTTTGGAAACCACTGGCAGTCATGACAGTCTGACGCCCCCTTATCTGCAACGAAATGAAGGAAATTTATTCACCTACTGATCAGAACAATTCAATTTTTATTATAATGATTTAAATATTGAATTTCAAAATCACCCCATTTGATTGATGTATATTCCGCAATTAAATAATTTTAAAATTAATTGAAAAATAATATGATATACTGCAGCGAAAAGAAACTTGTACAATTTTCCCTGTAGTATTAAATTTTTGATTTATTAACTTTTAAACCAAATGTTCTTTGTGATTGTCAAAAAATGATGTTCCTACCTTGTGGAAACTGGCCTGTGACCCCATCAAGTTCTCCACCTTCCCAGCACCCTCCTTGAGAGCAGAAGTGACGTCCTTGTCCATCCCTGTCACTGACATCTCACCAAACACCTGCAGATAAAGAGATATCATTATGATGCATTACATATGATACATTGGTTTTTGTATTACCTTTTTTTTAAAATGAAATAAATTATATATAAGTCAATGTGACTCCTGTGTTCACTGATATTAAAGGGATAATAACTCTTCATATGAGGTCTATATTTCACAATAAAAACCATTGTGAATAACTCATAGAAATATAATATATTCTGTTTTACCACAAAAACAGCAGTTAAAGCTATTATTCTGATATCTGAGCTTGTCTTCAGACCACGTGACCTCCATTGATGGCTATATTCTGTTATAATCTCTTAAGAGATTTTAACAAAAAACCAAACTTTTTAGAAAAAAAACAGGGACTAACTTTGAATGTAAAAATGGATTCATTAACCATTGGTAAGTGCGGGAAAATTGTTGTTGACCCCAGGAAAATTCATTTTTTGGCCAAAACGAAGAGTTATTATCCCTTTAATTCATTGTTCACAATTAAAGTAAAACTACTTTCACTTAATATTTGATAACTCTTTCATTATATTTTAATTGATAAAAATAATTATAACAAAAGTTACCACTATAAATGATATGTTTCATCGATATTAAGGCCAGTTCTATGGTTAAATCTGACGAAATGTGTATTGAAGGGAGTAGTGCTCCAATATTTAGATACATAGTCCATATTTACCTCTACAATAGCGCCATCCGGAAGACGTAGAAAATGCCGGAAGAGCTCACGGAGGCCGTCAAGATGGAGGGTATGGATGGAGACGTGGGTCGTGATCTCACGTTTGTTGTTCTTCTTCAGGTCAGGAACATCATCCCAGATACTCTCCTCCACCTGGTGGGAGAAAAAATATCAGGATAAACAAAATGAACAATGATACTGTGTGTGATGACACTTATGGAAAGGCAATTACAGTCCACCTAACCTTATTTCTTATTAAACTTAATGGAGGATTCAGTCAAAATTGTGAAGGAAAAAGTGCAACAAATCTAAAGATAATTACAATAGCATGACATCCTAACTTTCACAGCTCACATCATCAAGTACGACACGTGATCAAAACTCTATGATGAAATGTAGAAACTTACTTCCTCATAGGTTGAAAAATGTGTTTAATCTTTTCAGGAAAAAAATTTATTCTTCTATTGAAAACAATATAGATATTCACTCACATTCTCTTCCTCCCATATGTAATCATACACTGCCGTCTTGCGTCTCTCTCCCTCTTCACCTCGCCACTGTTCTGCCTTCTTGGTGATGTAACTGAGCTCCTGATTGGATATTTCCAGGTCATGTGGTACAAAGAACATATCTTCATCTCCATGGAGACGCCAGTACACATCCAACATGCGGCCATTGTTGTGGAGTCTGGGAACAAGAATAGGTGAAAATTGAAAAGAAAATATAAAATATGCACAATAAGATGTCACACTACCAACAAGGGAAAAACAGGGATTAAACATATCTTCAGTGATGTAGTAAACGAAATGATAATACAATATAAAAGTTAAAGGGAATACTTGTCTCTGGAAAACTGGTTATTGTAAAATTTAGAAGTTGCCAACAAAAGAATAAAAGGTGCACCTAACAATCATGCACTTGCGAGGAACATGTCCGCCCATTTCGTTCTCAAAATGCGTCATAAACTTGAAAGAAAATAAATCTGACACCCACCTGAGGAAGAACATATACAGTATAGCTGCAGCCATGAAGCAGAGACAGAAGTACAGGAAGAGTGTGATAAAGATGCCCGCCAGTCCCGACCCCTCCGCTCTGTTGAAATGCCAGTACAGCTTGGCACAGTCTGCTATAGGCTGGTCACCGCCAGAGTTTAGGTACCTCTGGAATGGAAACCAAGCAAATGATAGACATATAATTACTACTGCTTTTCCTAACCTTATCTGTTTATATCAATAAAATTAGATAACATATCATTTTATTTAATTTTAGATTTCATCATCGAATTTACATAGAGCACTTACCTGCAAGCTCAGATCTATGATCATAATAGTAATGGGATCCAGAACAGCATGGATACCAAAACAGATAATAAACTTGCTACCGAGGTCGGGGAACATCCCAAAGATCTTCTGCATCAGCCAATCAATAATGACCAGCAAGGTGAAGGTCAAAATGATCAAGAACGGCCCCAAGCTGACCATGGCTATTTCTTCACGAGTGTGGAGAAGGGTGCTTTGGTAGTTCAGGTTTACTGTGTAAGGGAGGAACTCAAACCTAAGAATAAATTAAATTTATGTACATTATAAAACATGTACCTAACATTAATCATCTACACACAATTTTGAAAGTATTTTTGAAATACAATGATAGTCAATAGAAGACTACTTCGATTTTGAGGACGTTGTATCCTCTTCAACATGAAATTATCAGTTTGGTAACAATCGCTTATTGTCATTTCTCTCATTAAAAAAAAAATTTAGGCATTATTAAATTAACTAATATTCATTTATAAAACTGTTTCCTTTTCCCATATTTGATAACCTCATTGTAATTTTTCTCTTCTTGGAAATTAATAAGAGAAAAATAAACCCCTACTAACTTGTTGATGGGTATCTCGATTGCATTCAAGAACAGCCACTGTCCGATGTAATGGAGATAGAGACGTAGGAAGAAGATGAAAACAAACAGCATCACCATTCCCCAGAATTCTCTGCTTCTCCACTGTGACAGTCCTAACTCCGCGAGAAACATGCGCCCCACGTAGTTCACTTTCTCCCAGCTGCGTCTTGGCAGGTGCCCTTTCTCTGAGAACGGAGGCCTATTAAAGAAATTAATAAAATTAAAGATAATTTTGGGTACGGTATTTATGAAAACATTAATTAAAACTTTCTCTGTCCAATTTTGATTTTTGCTTCTTTTACCAATTAATAAATATTAAGTAGGCCTTTTATCAAAAACATAATAATAATAATCTCCTTGTCTTATTTTTGTGTGAAAATTTAAGTTAAAAGATACTGCACTTAGCCAAAGACTTAAAATAATATTTTTTGTTAAAAAAAAAAAAATGTCACAGACAAACTATTACACACTGCATAGACAAAACTATTATACACTGCCATACACTAAAAAAAATCAAAAATACAAATACAACACACAAAAATCATAAACACCTTAAACCTGCCAGCTGGCCGTTTTTCACTTACTTGACACTAAAGCTGTGTTGCTCCAGCTGTTCCAGATGGGTCAGCTTCCTCTGGCGTCTCTTAGGGTTCAGAATGGGTGTCTTAGGGAGCATGGTGTACAGTTTCTTAGCGTACACATCCACTGGGTTGTTCATGTGTCTCTGTATTCATAAAGAAAATAAATCAGGTACAAACCAGTGCATAAACTGACTGATAACTTTAAGTTCACTTATAAGCATTTGGAATGGAGGCAATATTTTTTGTCTACTGGCATTTTTGGCAAGATTAAGAACACACTAGTGTATAAACTTATTTACAAGTCAATAATTATATGTAAACATTTGGGATTTTAGTTTTTTAAATTGAGTTTAGCCAGCTCCCTTGGAGGCAAAAAATTTGGTCCACTGGCTGAGAATTAATTAATATGACAGTTCCTTGGTGTAGACATTTACTGAGCTGTTCTTGTGTGTTCTCAAACAAAAATATCATGTGAGCACTGGTGATAAATCCACACTTCAAAAATATATAATTATCTAAACTCACTCCATGGTAAATCTATTTCAGCCAAACAGCTTTTAGATAATCAAAATTTTGATCTACATCAATGATGAATTTGGCTACAACAGAACAACTATTTCTGATCTAACTTAAACTTGATGTGAGTGTCCACTATAGTTTATTTACCTTATAGAAAAGCCCAGGTTCTCCCTTCACCGGCATGAAGTCCTCGTCTTTCTTGGTCATAAAGGCCTCTTCATCATCATAGTCATCGCTGTCACTCTCATTCCCGACCTTGACCTTGTTATCCTTGTGAATGTTACGTGATCCGATGGTCGTCATGGGGCGGCGCTGGCGTAGATCAACATGGAGCTTGTCCTGAAGAATTAAAGGAATGGTTCGTTTAGAATTAAATAATGCCTTTTGATTATCACCTCAACACAAAAGTCACAACAGAAATGCTGCGGTATTTTGATAAGCAAAGAGAAATGGGTCTTTTATTGTCTCATTGTGACCTTTTTCAGTAAACTTGACTTTTGTATGACCATATCTTAAATCTTGATACTTTTTTCTTCATAAAACAAGGACTGAACTATCAAAACTGATAAAACTGCTAAAATTATTTTCCCCTTTGGCAGGAAATAGCAGCCATGATAGAAATTCTAGTGTTTTTACACTCGTAGAGTTATCATCTTATTTTCTTACTGGTTTCCCATCTTCAGACTTGAGGCCGTCATCTGCCAGAGTGGTGTTGCTTTTACCTAGGATACTGCTCATGTGGAGACTCAGCTTGGCTTCACTGGAACAGGAAACTTATATATCAGTATTGTGTGAACACACACACACACACACACACACACACACACACACACTAAGATGAGTGTCTGTGACACACATGCTATGCAACATAAAACTCTGGACAACTAACAAAAATATTTTTATGTTGGACTAGTAAAACATTGGACTTTCTGTCCTTCCATCATCATAATTAGTACACCTGTCCATTATAAAAAGAATATAATTTGTTCATTCAATAATGGCAGCGCAAAATTATACTAAATACAGAATGGTAATGCACCAATTGTGTTATTATTATATTATATTGTACAAGGTCATGATTATCTCAGTACAGAATTAAACTGAAATTGAATTGAATTGGACTGAATTGTCATTATCATTATGATATCATTACCTCTGGGCCCCTTCCTTGGTCAGTGTGGACCCCATATTGCTGTGGGATCCTGGGATAGGTTCCTCTCCGTCTTTAGCCTCTTCTCCAGTATTCACACGGTCTGGATGACTGAGAATTCCTGACAGGAACTGAAGTTCTACTTCATATTCTTTTTGACCAGCCATATATCTAGAAGACAGAGATTTCTCAATTTAGTATCTCATTTCCACAATTACACAGGTACATTTTTTTTACAATTTTAAATATATTTCCAGGTCTATGACTGAATATTTTATGATAATCAATCAAAACATTAGAAGCATTGAATAAGCAACATATGTTGTCATGATTGCATTTAAGGATGTAGATAACAGTAAATTGTCAAAATTTGNGTCACAGATAGGGAAAGCCCCCCATCCCACCACGCGGTCAGTGGGTACGACGGCGCCACGGAGGAGGAAAAGCTCGAACACCAGCACCATGCCTGGGCGTACTGAGGGCTTGGCGGGGAGGACCGTGAACACACTCTGCTCCAGCTGGAACACATATAAAGTTTGATGAAATCAGAAAACTATCTAACCAACAAAATAAATAGATAAATAAATTAACAGATGACTGTTGACTAAGAGATGGAAAAGTTCATATTTCCAGATAATTTATCTCATAATACTATTTATAAAAATATTACTAACCTTTAATTAAGCATTCAAATTTGTTAAGGTTGATAAAAATGTAAATCATAAGAAAATTAACATGTTTCTACCCGATGAATGACTTTTTGACCCTTCATCCCAGGGCCTCGGATGAAGGAATTACAGAAGTTATTTGAGCCTGTTTGCTCTTATACTTAAAACTACCTTTAACTGATTGTTATAGATCTGAAGTTGTTTGAAATAACTGAGTAATTCAAGCTGGGTAATTACCACACCTTTAACTCAGCATTGTAGAAGTTCCCGTCGTGGTGTGTGGGCAGCGTGGCCCCACCCCACTGCTGACCCTTTAAGTTGGACCATCTCATCACGATGCCCCCCAGTCTGTTGTACAGGGACACCATCAGCACATAACGGCCAGCTGAAATGGAAGGTTTTATTTCAATATCTTTGATTTAAAAATATCTTAATTCAAAAATACCATCAGGACATAGCGGCAAGCTGAAACAGAAATATAAAAATAGAAAAAAATATAATTTAACACCTTTGATTTACAACTATCTTTATGAATTTTTTCCACAATTTAATTTTCAAAGAATGTAAAGGCCAGTTGAGACAGCAAAATTTTATTTTAACATCCTTATTTTTCAAAGATTTTCATGAATAGTGAGCAGATGAAAGTGAAGTATATATGTATGTTTATTGAAATCTTGTATAGCTACCATCTAACAGTGAATGATTCTGAATAAGAAAAAGAGGCAAGAGGGGGTTTCAAAAATGTACTCTTTCTTCCTTGCTACCCAAATATATACCACAGTGATAACATATGTACTTGTAACAACGCCTGGTTTCTAAATTAATGTCCCATCTTACCTTTGCAATTTACATATGTGATATAAAAGCAATGCCTTTCCCACACTGGAGATCAGTTAACTAACTCCATTTCTTTACTGTAGAATTTAGATGACCTTGACCTACCTGGTAATTTGTCCTTGACCCCTCTCAGGCAGTTCAGCTTCACCTGGATTGGCTGGGGAGTCTTGTTCCAGTCGACCTTCCATCTTCTGCCTTTACTCCCTCCATAGTGACCATCTGACACTGTGAGATCTCCATACATTGTCTAAAATAGGGAATGGAGAAATTACATAAAGACAAGAAAGAGCATGTCACCAGGTCATTTAAAATTTCTCTTTTAAAGGAGCAATTCTGAATTCCACATACTGTACATTGACTAAATCTCCTCTCTAGGGAGAATGACAGATGCAGGTAATTTTTTCTCATTTTATTATTCAGTGTGATCTAAATGAGAACACCCTTCTCTCTCTTCCTCCCTTTCTGTCTCCCTTTCTACCTCCTCTCTCTATCCTGCCCCCCTCTCCCTCCCTTCTCTCTCTTTCTGTCTCTCTCTCCCTCCTTTACTCTGTCTCTCTTCTCGTACCTTAACTTCTCCCTTCCTTCTCTCCAGGACAGTGGTCAGCTGGTTTTCTGACCGTCTGAAGGCCTTGTGAAGTCTGTCCATCAACAGACGTTCCTTCTGCTGCGCTATTTCCTGGAAGAAAAATAAACATCACAGCTTGAGTTTTGAAAACAGTTGGTTGTCAGTTTTCTCATCAAATTAGTGTCAATATTTTAACTCTTGACAGTATACTGGCAGGCTTAAACTTAACTTTTCACCAAACTTTATACATTTTAATTCATTCAGTTAGTTTCAATGAAATAAGTAAAGAAAATTGAGTCTGATGAAGTCTAAGGATACAAACCAAAGATCAGACCTCATACAACCTGCACGTGAGTATGCACATTACGAGTTTTGATTTTTTCTTCAATTATTTGATCTAAATTTATCCTTAACCTCTCTCTTAGCCAGAAGTCTGCGTTTCTCTTTCAGCCTCTTTGCCATACGCTTCTTGGCTTGCTCCTCACTGATGAGAATTCCTTCCTGGCGCTGACGAGCAATCTCTGCCTCCTGTTGTTGGTAAGCTATGTGCTCATCTCGAAGTCGCTTCTCTTCTTCCTGGAGTGGAAAAAAACAAAGTTAAAATTAATTAGAATGGGAAAAAGTACCAGAGTTAAGTATGACTGTGGTTAAATTAATGGTTAAAAAAAAAAAATTCTACAATGAGCGTGTCTTCCATGATATAAAATTTGTGACCACTCCCAACCAAAAATCATTATCATCTCAAAAATATTGCTTAAAACATAAATTTAAAAGGAAAAACATCATTGGATACTTGCCTGAATCTCCTCCAATGAAATGTTCCCTATCATAAGCACCTCGTCCCTAACATCAGTCTCAAACCCCTCCACATACTCTTGAATATCCTCCTCCTCCATCGCCAGGCGAAGTTCAGAAATTTTCTGGTAATTTGGGACATGCTCCGGGCGCGTGAAGAGAGCAGGAGGGCGCTGAGAAGTCTCGAGGTCCGAGTCGCCCCCTTCCAGAGTGTCCATGAGGCGATAGAGATCAGGCAGTGTGTGATCTTCAGCAGGAGGTTCTAAAAACATTTAACAAGGAACAATTAAGGACATGACTTCTATCCCAGCAATTTTACTGAATTTCTAACATCTTACTGGCAATTATTTCTCATAAAAATAATAAATAAATAAATAAATATCACTAAAACATTCTGATATTAATCCCAGGCCTACCATATTTGAATTCCTCATCACTCAGTTCAATGCCGTATTCCTTGGGGTCCAGATCATCAAACTCTCTGGCCTCAAACTTGTAGCTGGTTTTCTATAACAGATAGAACGAATATTCAAACAGTTTAGGGTCTAAGTTAAAATATAATTAAAGATAATTCTTAGAAGAAAGAAAGATTAGTGGAACAAATCTGCAGTCACAGTTTAACACATTCTATGTGGGCTGTTATATTTTTTACAGATTCTCTCTCTCTCTCTCTCTCTCTCTCTCTCTCTCTCTCTCTCTCTCTCTCTCAGCAATATGAGGTTAAAAACCACATCCATCCTCTCTCATTCTCTCTCTCTCTTCAACTAAGAATAAACACAGGAGTTGGGCCTTACCTTAGGTGTACTAGTTGTAATGTGCGTAGAAGTTTGCCGCTGTTGTATTTGCGTAGGAAAGCCATCTTTCTCAGCTCCAGGACCTGTCGCGGGTCTTTCTGCACTGGCTGGCCGAGAAGCTGATGTTCACAGAGAAATAGATACATACTGATGTTTCGATGGAGTATTAATTAATTAAATTTTTTAACACTTTCATTTTTTTCTAATTTTGGAGGTATATTATTCCTGGGGTCAGTCCATTATTTAAGACTGCCTATTTTACAAAGTCATTCAAAAGTGAATTCAATTTCCGTACATCATGAGAACTGTCAAATAAAAGTGCATTAAATAAATGAGTCAGAAACAAAAAAAAAAAAAAAACCAAAAAAAAAAAAATTATATTATGAGAATAATTTGTTCAAGTTATAAAAATTACACAGAGTAAATAATTACTCAGTGACAAATACCTGGTTTTGGTTCTTTTATCGATTTCCCCTCTAAGTCGTCAGGAGCATCTGGATTTGATGTTGAAGGGGGCGCTGGTGCAGAATCCGAATCCCATGGCTGGCGGCTTATTGCCTCCTCACCCTCTACTGTAGATGGCGCCACAGGTAGTGAAGAAGATGGCTTCATCTGACTTTTTACAGTCTTTTTACCTGGAGGGGGAGTCACTGTTGATGTAGATGGCTCTGGTGGATTCTCCTTTGATTCTTCATCTTTAACTGTAGGTGGAGACACTGTGGAGTCTTCCTGTTTGGACAGAAAATTGAGGAGACAGGATACTTAAATGATCATAATGCGTCACATCTTTTCAATTTTTTCTGATTATCTAATTTCTGACAATCTTTTCTGATTATCTAATATCAATGATCAGAAATTGTATAAAAAAACTTTCCTCACAAAGATTGATGACAATTATTTTCATTTTAGTGTGGTAGTGAATAAAATAGTTCCTTATCAATTATAAAACTCATTCTCTCACTGTTAAAAAATTCCAACCCCAGAGAACAGCTGGGGGGTGGGTGGAGGGGGAATCGGATAGAGGACATGTGCTTCTGACCTCCAGTTAGCTTAATGGACTTCTCTATTTCCATGTCAAGCAAAACAAGATGCTAAACTCCCCCCCCCCATTCATTCCACCAATCCCCACCCCATCAAAACCATGCATCTGCCATAAAAGTCCAACTTAAGTGCAGTCTTAACTGACCTTTGGAATATTTTCTTGTGGAGTTTCCTCCCTTTCTACTGCCTTTTTCTTCCCTTTCTTTTTTCCTTTGCCCTTCTTCTTAATCTTTGGTGTCACTTCTTCATCCTCCACTTCTACAACTGCTGAGGCTCCCTGTGTTTGAAGTAAAAAAAATCAATCACACAAACAAACAGGACTTATTTTCTCTGAATCATTTTTAAAATCACAACCAGGGTATGACTCATTACAAATATATATCACTGCGTAAAAACATAGTACTAGTATATATATTAATTAAACTGTCAAAAAACTGCCTTTACAGGTCTATAGGGGTTTGTTTTTTCTGGTGGACCCTTTACCATTAAAACTTTGTTTCTAGATCAAATTTAACCCAGAACAAACTATTTGCCAACAAAAGGGGACTGACCCCCCCCCCCACCCACCCCAACCCCCACCAATGGCTTGGACTCCTTGAAATTTTGTGTGAAATTACAGGTAATAATTTTTAGAGGCATTTGTACCCCCAACTTGGAAAAAAAAAACCTGCTTTGCATTGTTAATTTGTAAATACCGGGCACAACAAATAAATCTAAATTATTTCACCTACAGCGCCCCCCCCCCAAACCAAATATTTGTACCATTCCTCTGTGTTTATAACAGACCTGTGGCTCTTCTTCTTCATTTGCATCTTCTTCAGCTTTTTTCTTTGGTTTGACACCTTTCTTCAGCTTCATTTTTGGAACTAAATAAAAAACAAGGCAGCAAAGCTGACAAATGTACAGACAAAAAAACAGAAAATAAAGATGCAAATAAGTGAAAAATTAAATTTTCGCAAAAAACTGTTAAATTGCCAGAAAAATTTACCAAACAGACTGCATTGCCTATTGAAGCTGTATGTTAGACCCATGTTTCTTTCCTGTAAGTTTGAGAACAGTAATTGACATGATTTCCCTTAAATGGTCATCATAGGAGCAGTGCCCAAAATAGGGGTTTCTTCAAATTTTGATGCAACATTACATAATGTTGAACAGCATGATGACAAACAAATGTTATTAATAAAATATTAGTAACATGGACATTCAGAAAATGTGACAAGAAAAAGTCTTCAGGATCATGGAACTTTAAAGTCACACCTTGTAAATGCCAATATGTGAAAAATTAAATTTTCACAAAAAACTGTTTAACTGCCAAAAAAANGAATATTCATCAGTTCTGTAAGTTTCAAGCCAAAAGAAAAAACAGTATTCCACTTATCGTGTTATCGGTAAAAGTGCACGGCGACGACAGACGCAGATGATGGCTATATGTACAGACACATCTGTGTCTGTACATAAAAAATTGATAATATCAGGGACATTGATGCTTAAATGTATATATGCATCTGTAAACACAAAACAAGTGCTGTTAGGTGTGAAAAACTTAATAAAAAAATCACAATTATTTCTCAGTCCAACAAAGGTAAAAATAACTAAAATCTCACATTCAGTCAAAAATAAAATATTTAAATTACCTTGTTCAGCCATTTCCACTCAAGTGTGCAGTCAATACTTGGAAAATGAAATGAAACAAACAGCATCTTAAATTTCTGTTATAAATGTTAATTACTAGTACTGCTATATCTATAATACTTACAAACCTGCAATGATTTGCGATAAAAAAGACAGAAACAAAAAACAACCAAATATCACACGATCAATGAGAAAAGATGCAAACATGCTAAATAAAAAGTAAGTAAAGATACGATTGCAAATTAATTCAAAATCTGAAGGCTAATGGTAAAACAATAATTGAGCTGCATGTAAATCTTCACTCCTTGGCTATGGGATGTAAAACAATTTATTGCCATGCCAAAAGGAATGACTGTTGAAGTTCAAATGTCCGATGCGAGTAACATGGTCAATCAAATGTGTATAATTTGGCTTAGAAATGACAATAACACATTAAGTGAGAGCTCGATTTTTGTAATATTTCAGACAACTAAATACAAGCGAATTCATTCACATCATGATATGCATGGGGAGTCAAAGAGGTCAGCATAACTACCTGGTCCTAGCATAGATTTGCTCGCCAATTCGAGAGCAAAGCAGAATCACTGCCTACAGAACAGGTGCCCGTTCGCAGTGTCTCTTCTTGACCCACTTTTCAAATCACCAAATCACCACCTTTTACCCCACTCTAAACAATGAATTTATGCTTAATGCCATTGCAAGTATATCTTAAAGACACATTTAAACTTAATTCGGATTACATACTTCAAATGTTACCTTTTAGTGAAGTTATGAGTGGGAAAAAATTAGTGAAGAAGCCTCATCCGTATTTTCAGCCCGTCCGCCATTGTTAAACATTTACGTCACTACAATAGTAACGTTGACGTCACAGACAAGAAGAGACACAATTTACTGCTTTCAAGAGGTGAATATGGTATGATAATTTGTAAACACGTCCATAGAAATGAATTTGAAATGTTTATATTTATCTTTACACCGAAAAAAATGTTCTGCTTTAAATACTCTTACTTTAATATGAACAACATCCGACAAAGCTTTTCTTGTCATAGATGGCGCTGGTCGCTGAATGTTTGAGAGGGAGAGAGATCTTGAATCTTGAATGAAATACAGAAATGTCTGGGCAGCAAAGAATACCTCTCTACCTGGAGCGTCATAAAATAGGGGCACTGTTTGAGGCAAGTGGATTATGTGAATTGATGAACTCTTTTGATGTGCAATTTTTAAGGCCGTAACACCAACAGCGTCTTAATGTGTTACTCCGACGACTGTTATTTCATCCCCTACTACTACTACTATTATTACTACTACTACTACTACCAGATCAACCTGGATTTGATTAAAAACCTACACGATTTCCAGTTTTGCTGCGACTACATTTGTTTATAGTTGTCAACATTCAATTCTTTAGCATAAAATGTTTTAACATTTAATATTAAAATAATAAAATACTAGTACACTTCACAATTGTAGATCTTTTCTTCGATCATCCCTGTCATCTGTACACTTTTTTCCATTCATCCATCCATTCATCAGAGTTGCCAACAAGACCATACTCTAAATGCGTCATTTAGCTGTTGTCTAACATCTTATTTACCAAAGAATAACCCTGCAAACAAAGGGAGTCTGTCATAAATAATTTGACAACTCTGGTCCGTGCCTATCATTCTGATTATCTAACTGATTACTATTTCTATTCATTGATACAGGAGTTGATGTCCAAGATAATCCACGACCAGCCAGATGACCCTATCTATTTCTTGATCAAAGTGCTGCAGAAGAAACATAAACTTATCAAGGAGGTGAGGACACATACATCTCTAGCATGCACTAACAACGTACATACATGCACACACACACACACCTGTGCATCAGGATCGTTGGCAGGGGAGGTTCTGGAGTTTCTAACAACCAACCCATTTGGTTATAAAACAAAAATTATTTTGGTTTATGCCGTAATGATCCACATTTTCAGAAAAAAGAGCACTCATTTGTTCGAAATTGTTGGCTATAGGCTTGTACGCACATAGATTAGTACAACAACAAAACTGTAATGTCTAATAATTTGCTCCCATAATGTTTAAGTTTATCATGTTATCTTGTATGTTGTGGAAAATTTAAAAAAAAGTATTTGTAATTGTTTTTTTTTGTAGGCTGAAGATGGAGCCAAAGGACCCACACCTACCAGAAAAAGTACCACAGAGCTCTTCAGTGAGTCATGTTAGTGGAGATAAAGAAAATTGATCATACATGGACAGCATTTTGAATTTATTTAATTTAAAGATTATTTCAAATACATTATCAAATTAGATTAAAAATTATGCTTGTACTCTTTAAGTTTTGTGTACTTTAGATGTATTGCTTTTACAAAAGCAGTTTTTAACATTATATAGCATTTGTAAACACATTTATTTCTACAATTTGTAGAATTATATAATTGGTGATTGGATACCTCTTCTGTACATGAATAAGAATACATTATTTGTAATATTATTTATAAAATTGTATGTCGGTGTATAAAATTGTAGGCCATAGCAAGAAAAGCACCCCAGAATTAAGCAGAAAAAGCATGCCAGCTTCTGCAGCTTCTTGGGCGCAGTCTCCTCCTGGTGAGCATTTATATTCATTGTTACGTAACATAATATACCACACCTAAGAAGACAAAAAAAGACTGTTTTGTATTTAGTTCAGCAGATACATTAGGCCTGAGTTTTGATATTATTATAGTTGACCAGTTAATTGTAGGTAAATATTTTTTTCATACAAAAACAGTTAAGTATGCTAGAAAAAATCTGCTCTTTTATTTGAAGCTAAAAGAAAATTTTAGCCAGCGTAATCTTGGTATTTGTATGTACTATAGATGGTGCTGTGACTGAAGACAAGCAGAGAGACTATGAAAAACCTTGGTTGAGTCATAGCAAGAGATTGAAACCAAAGAAACCTGCTACTGCTGCTGCAGGAGGGGATGGAGAGAATGTAAAACCAGGTAAGATAATTTCCCGCAATTCAAAAATTGCAAAATATATATTGATTTTAAGTATTATTGAATACTTAATCTACAGAAGATATAAAGAATCGAAATGAAAGGTTGTACACATGGTTTAGCGATAAAAAGTAATTTAAAAAGAGACATCTTACTCAGTTTTCAGTGCCATGTTAAGAGCTTGATTTCCTTACAGTTGACAAGCTCAAACATAAATACCAACTTTCAGTTATAAAGTGCAGCAAGGTTCAACTTAGTCCAAGGTCAAAGGTCACTCAAAGGTCAAGGACACAGTCCTCAGAGTTTGAGGAATTTGTGAAAGCTCCATCAGGTGACTGGCATGGAGGGATTAATGACTAACAAATGAGAGATTAATGAGGATTATACTCACTGAGGATCAATAACAATTTCTGCATGGTTTAGATGGTGAACACACATGTTCAGTCATGCAGTTTGCACTAGACATATTTCCAAAAATTGCAGCAGTTTTCTGTCTATTCACCAAGGCATGGCATATCCAAAACCATTCATGGCATTACAATCCTTGAGTTCAGGTTACTTGCATGGAAGGTTTAGTGACTAACAAACAGTCTTATGAGGGTAATGGTCACAAAATGAATAACAATTTCTGCATGGTTTAGCTGCCTATGAAATGCTTATTAATGGGATCTTCTCCAGGATTGCCTTATTAATGAGGAAAAGAGACTTAATCATGAAGTAAGAGCTAGAAAACTTTTAACCTTTAGATGGCATTCATGGTTTACTTGACTGATCCCATTAAAGTAGTTAAAATGTGAATTAACAGCATGCACCCTGTGTACACTTTTTTTTTTTTTTTTTTTTTTGGGGGGGGGGGGGGGGGGTCATGCAAAAGTGAAGTTGGGTTGGCAGCTTCAATGAAATGTGTGCTATAAATAAGCAGCCCAAGCTGAGTGGCAGTAATTGCAAACTGAATGTGCTTATGTGAGTCGTAAATTGCATTTGAAATTATGTACATAAATGTACATAATTTTTAGTCATCAGTATATTTCTTCAAAGTTAATTTCCAAACACATAACATGTAATAAGAAGAAAGAAAACAATCATAATACTTACCTGTGGCCTCAATATCATGAAATGATTACATCTTGGAAAAATTTTTGGGATCTGCAGTAACTTGATAGAACCACAAATATTTTCAGTTTCATTTAGAGGTCTGGCTCAGGATTTATCAAAGCAGATGTATTCGTACTTAAAATTTATGCCAGTGGTAACATATATACATATTTTAAAGGATGATAATTTAAATCCTGAGGCTCCTTAAATTTGACACAGGCTCAATTTTTCTCCTCTCCCTTGATGCCTGCAAGCCTCCCAGTATAAAAAAGATAAAAATTTGAATAATCTTACAATTGGTTATTTTAGCACCAAGAAAACAGTGGAATGCAGACAACAAAGTTCCTACAGCTGACTTTGATGAGCTTTGGGAAATCACAAAAGGAGGAAAAGCTTACCAGCGTGTTAGGGATGAGGAAGAAAGAGAGGAGGCAGAAGCCAAGAAAAGAGAGAGTGGGTGGAGAAGTGTCATGTTAGGGGTGAGCGCTTCATGGTGTTAAAAAACCAAATAGGTTTATAGACTGAAAATATGGTGCTAAAATCTAGTAACACTCTGAATATAAGTTTTCCCAGTAATTTTGCCCTTTGTATTTGTATTTCTTGGTAGTCTTTTTCTTAATCGTGCTAGTATTCCACGTTTCAGGAAGGAGAAGACATGGTCTATAGCAGTGGTGGCTACACTGGGCCATATAGAAAACCAATGACAGAGGAGGAAGAATTAGCTGCAGAGCTTTCAGTTGGGAGGTCAATACGCAGTGATCCCAGAGAACGCGAGGAGGCAGAAACTGAAAGCAGTGCAGGGTGGGTATCCTATTTAGGGATTTCACAGCAGAATACTTTATCCAGGAGTGCTTTGGTAATGACTTCTTTCTCAAAATGTCAATTACTGTTGTCGGTCATTTTTTTTTCTTTTGCCAAATGACTGAATTTATTGAAGTCCTTGATAAATGTCAAAATGCATCGCAAATTACATTCCAAAGCCTATTTTTCATTTATTTTGAAATAATCATTATCGTAACCTGATATTATTTCTCAAACTATGTAGTTGCCTCAACCTAATCCTCTATGTAACAAATTACACAAGCATTCATATTTTGCACTCAGTGCATCCAACATGTTTGATGAAAATCAATTTTTCTTTTTCATTTGATTGAAAACAACCACTGGATACATCATAATCTACAATTAAATTTTTTACTGTATCACTAATTATTCTAGATCAACCAGCAGCAAGCGTAAGGGTCCAAAATTTGCCTCAGAACAACACAAGAAAGATTTAGAGAAGTACATCAAGAAGGAGAAAGAAGATGTTCAGTCTCAAGACTCTGGTTATCCGGGCGAGGACGATGATTATGATGAGGCCATTGAAGTGCTGGGTAAGATTTATGATTTTTGTAATTTCAGAAATGAAGTATATAAAAACTAACAGTTGGTTTGAACTTTTAGAACAGAAAGCTTTGTCTAAGTTGACCAGATGTCAGTCAGTTGAAATTTGTGTGAATGTAGCTCTGTACTAGTTTATAAATAGTGAGAAACAATAGAAATAAGAAATATCCTATGCTTCAGACTCTTTTTTGTGATGGACTGCTATTTGTTTATTTTGATTATTTGAAGAGCAATTTTTACACTCTAGATCTTTGTGATGATAAGTTCTTCTTGTCAGTTTTGAATTGATGTGTATTAGTTAAATTGTAAGCCAAAAAAATAAATCAGTGGAGCTATTTTTTTATTTTGATTCTAAAAAAAACTCAATTTTCATGTTTGTATGTTAATCAGAGAACCCCGAAGATCTGAAGAATGAAGGTATAACTGGAGTGAAGACGTCTGGAGTCAGGATCAGCAAGGTAGAGTGTGTTGATTTTTTTAAAAAGGAAGAAGTACTTTTTATTAGTAAAAATTATATTAATTTATGTATGAATGATTTAGATGTTTTGTGGTATTGAAATATTTCTGGAAATATTTTAAGGCACTATGCACAGGATTAATATGCCAAAATGGTTTTTCCTGGGGGGGGGGGGGGAGTAATTTTCTCCTACATTTAAATCATTGTGTGCCTGAGTGCCTTAGACTTGGATTAAAATAACAGCTGATGTTCTGTTTTAGATCTTTTTGAGTAATATTCAGCAGTTGCATTGTAATAGCATTGATGAGTGAATGTGTGAGAAATTTCAACACTGATGAAATAATCATCCATCACACTGAAAATTTAATGTTGTAAGTGTTAAATCATTATAATACTTAATGTTTTAGACAATGAAGACAGTTGAAGCAGAGCCTCAAGTGAGAGTCAGTATATGTGCCAGATGTGCTAGGTAAAGGACAGAGGTGTATAATAATAAAAAATAATACAGTGATGTGACATGCATGTTAAGCATGGTTACATGTTAAATATGTCTTCCTGAGGAGTGGTGTATCAGACTTATACCATGGCTTAAAAAACAAAGTTTTCTAATTTATTTTCTGAAGAAAGTATAAGCATTTTTTTCTTCAATTAGTGAGATATTACATTTTAAGTTAAAATATTGCTTAAATTGCTTCAATTTATAGTGAAGGTTTTCAGCAAACAGCAATTTCATTAGTCAGTTTTATTTTTGCAGGGTCATAGGTGGCACTGAAATGAGTGAACCGACAAGACAGTCCAAATTTGAAGAACTTTCTGAGGTTGGCTTTGAGAGAAATGGATCTGCAGGTAGATTGGCTGTAGCTACTTATACTTAAAAGATGCTTTTCATTTAGCTAGGGCAGTTCTCTTACTGTTAGTGTTGTAGCCCTTGCTTTTGTTGTTGTCTGCAACACCTGTGTTGTAGTTTGTTGTAGTAGGTAATCAGTGCCTCACATCACATTTTAGTCACAAGTGAAATAAAATACATAACACACACATACACGCACACACACAGAGAGAGAGAGAGAGAGAGAGAGAGAGAGAGAGAGAGAGAGAGAGAGAGGACCATAGACACACAAAATACTTGTTAGTTCATAGTCAGTGTCTGACATCACATTTTAGTCACCAGTGAGATAACTATAGACATAGCGTCCTCCCCCGACAGAGCCACCGCCAGCAGCTTCCAGGCCAAGGCATGGGATATCGTCCAATCAGAAGAGGAGGGAGAGGGAGTGACAGATTTCTTTGATACTAATCTCCAGGCTGCTCGCCATGTATCGCAGCTTGTTGCTAAGGGAAACGCAAGAAGTAAATGATATGGAGAGCCAATTTCGTTTTTTTTTAAATTACTTTTTTTTGATTGATTTGATTTGTTATGTTTGTGTTCTTGTCACCCTGAGAGTTAGAGGTAACTGCTATATCACCTCAGTTATCAGCATGTTCTCTGTGTTAATGGAAATGGCAGAGGGGAACTGATAATAGATTGACCTCTGAAACTCAGGGTAATACTGGGAATGGCATGCTATAATAGAAGTGAGTTTCAAGTTAAATCTGAAACTGAAGGGTGACTCTTGTGAACCTGTTTTGGTTTTTGTTCAGGAAATATGAGAAGAAACTGTAACCAAGAATGCAGAGGGAATGTTTGATATATTTGTTTAATTCTTTTACAGTTGAAAGTAGTTGACATCATTTATTTATTTATTTAATTTTTTTTTTGTTGAAATATTTATTGATATTTTAGTTTTTGTTTATTTGCTTGTTTGTTTGTGAATGCTCTTCTTCTAAAAAATCAGTTTCAGCTTTTTGACCAGGTACCAAGAAGGAATGTGTTAATTTTTGTGTTTGACAGCTTGTCTTTGTTGATTCTTAACTTTCAAAAAAAAAACAAAAAAAACTTGTTATATTTAAATGTTTTTGTGTAAAATCTTTAAAAGAATTAGAGCATATTGTTTTTAGCCTACTCAGCAACGTGAAATTGTGTTATTTTTTCCTAAACAAGTTTTTGTTAATTATATTTGAGCTTTCTTTTTCATCTCATGCATTCATTCATCCTTGTCCATACCCCCCCCAAAAAAAAATTAATTAATTAATTAATTAATTAATTAGTATAGAAGAAAAAAAATCAAGGATTGTGGTTTTGCAGTAAGAAGAATCTAAAAGATGATTTTTTTTCTTCCAATTCCAGCTGTACGGTTTGCCCGCCAGCCTCCCAGTGACTTTGCAGATGGAGAAGATGATGAAGATGACGAATTTGAAAGTGTATCTCAAGTCTCAGGACCTGTGAGTCTGAATTTTTTTTTTTTTTTTTTTTGTTTTTTACAAAAAATCAAACAAATTAATGAATTATATATAATACAATCTTTTGTCATTATATTAGTTATTGTTTGTTTTAGCCATGGCTTCCAAACAAATCAAAGTTTTTGATCCAAACTATATATGGCACTTTGGAAAAAAAATTATCAAGTCATTTCCATGTTGAAATAATTTGTTACGTAACAGTTCACTGACTGGAATAAGCCATTGATTGACAATTTAATATACACAAGAAAATTCTCACAGCCAAGACATATACCGTAATATTTCCAGAGACACCCAGTGTGGCAAGCAGAAGACTCTGATGGTGAGTTCAATGTCTCTTCATGGAGTGAAATTACTGAAAATAACTGTCCAAGTTGACTGTGTTTGGCACAAATAGTAAAGTATTAAAATTATAATTTTTCTCACCAATTCGATAGCAAATGAAAAAAAAAAGCAGATGTTGAGTGGAGCATTTTTTCATTTGAATAAGTTTGCACAGAATACCATTGTCTGTTAGTCTGTTTTTATGTGCATGTGTGTTTGTGTGTGTTTGATAAGGATTAAGTGTTTTTTGTCATAACAATTGTTTTGATGCTGTTGGTAATCTGTTGCCTGATAAATGTGAAGAACATAGCAGAATCTAGACTTCAGATTTGTGTGGGTGTGTGAGTGTGCACGCGAAGCACCTGAAAACGTGATGCTTCAGAAAAGCAGCCACTGATAAGAAAGTTGACGTAGATATGATCTATAGATATGAATTGCTGTCATTGTTTGCATATCATGCAAAATGCTTTTGATTATTTATGCTTGATAATTAATTCTGTTATGGTGATTATTGATTGCATGGGGAGATGAGATAACGTTTCTGTCAAAAATATGTTTTGAGTCAGCACAAAAATCAGGTATTTAGTACCTCCCTCTCTCCTCCCAGAAGATTATGAATAAACAGCAAACATATTTAGCTGTAATCTTATCATTTTCAATAATAGTTTGATTCTGAATTGAAATATTCTGTTAGCAATGATAATACGAGATAATGTTTAGATTAACAACACAAAGGCATTTTGATCAGTTGTGCTGTTGCATTCAAAATAGATCTCATAGTGTTGCCATTGCCACAACCCATAGCAAATTCTAGAAAAATGTTTGTCATATTGCTGGAGTAATAAGGCTGAAGTTGATGTCAATGGATTTTGTGAATCATAAGTTTATCCAATAAACTTGTTACTACTGTAACAACTCTATGAATTTTTGCTTACATGTTTGACCCAGACATAGGATATAAACATATGGTCATTTGCATGAAACAGATTTTTAAAGATCTGATAATAAGTCTTGAAGTCTGACATATATGGTAGACTCACAAAGTTAAAAAGAAAACAACTGGTCACTGGTGTTAGTTTACATGACTAATGGCATAATAAAATAGTGACTGTATCAAAAATTTTGTTGTCTGAACCATGTTTGTTCATATACAGAAACTTATTCTGTATGTAGATGGCGACCACCTAATAATAAGTTTATGCTATTCTTCATGAAATGTTTTAGTTAGTAATCAAATGGAAGGAATCCATGGGCACCACTATCATCGTGTTTGCGTGTTGTCGTTGGCCTCTTGTGAGTGGTCGAAGTTGATTTGTGAGTGGTCGAAGTTGACTTGGGAGTGGTCGTTGTCGTCTTGGTTGTTGTTTTGGTCGTCGAAGTCGTAGTACTTTTTGTTGTAGAAGTTGTTGTGCTCTTTGTTGTTCTCTTGGTGGAGGAGGTGGTCTTTGGCATATGCATGGGTCTGATGGCCATCTTGGTGGCTTCTAAGGAATACCATACCCCGCGGAATGATTTCCAGTAGACACCGTCAGGGACAATCGAGTGGTAGGAGCCATGGCGCATCCCGTTCCCGTTGAGGTTGGAACGGCTGTCGTTGCTGTACCACCATCCGCCGTGATGTTTGGTGGCCATTTTGTTGTGGTCACGATCTCTGGTGCTGAAGGTCATGTTTCTGGAACCAATGAAGGAGTCTCCTAAAAAGTTGAAGAAAAGTTTTGAAAACTGACTTTTAATTAGCTGTAGATGTGATTATAAATTAGCCATGAAGTGGTTCAAATTCTTTCCCTGGATAATACTGAATTATGCCATCAAAGTTAAGAAAAAATCAGCCTTTAGTAATCTTACCTATATTCCCCTTTGAGATGTCAGCTGTTATTACTGTTATTTTTATTATAATTATAATTATTGTTATTATTATTATTATCAAAATAAGCCTCAAGAACTGATCCATTAATCTACCCAACATCTTACCAACATTTCCCTCTTTGAGACTCCCAAGGTACAGTTTGTATCCGTCACTGGCACTGCTAATGGAGAAATCAGTAAAGACTCCAAACCCAGAATGGCCGTTGAAGTCTTTGAGATCTACACGTAGTTCATACTTGCGGCTGTTCTTCTTTGGATTGGTCAGCTGATACATGTTATCCAGACCTGGGTGGAAAGATTAGTTTCACAAATTTAAATATTGTAACTTTTACACTATTGTAAAAAGCATTTAGGCAAAGGATAATTTTTTAGTTAAATGTAAAGTTCTGTCAAGTAAATGCTTTGGTTACCAAAAGCTCAAGAGAACTTTATATCAGTATCCATTTTTATTTGTTTATGAATTTTTATTTGCAACCCCAAAACCCCCAAAAATTATAAAGGACTGGAAAATTAAAAAAGTGTCATGCTCACCCCACCAGAATTCAAAGCCCAGCTGTCCGAAGCCTTCTACATAGGAACGCATTCCTTCATAGAAGTCCAGGGGCTTTTGGATGCTGGTCTCACGCTTTTGGATCAACTGGAAATGGGGTCATTATTATTATTATTATTATTATTATTATTATTATTTATTATTATTATTATTATTATTATTATTATAGGAGGGAGATCGAGAGAGAGAGAGAGACATAAGATTTGAGAGAGAGAGAGACATAAGATTTGAGAGAGAGAGAGAGAGAGATGTAAGATTAGAGAGAGAGAGAGAGAGAGAGAGAGAGAGAGAGAGAGGTAGGGTAAGAGAATTTTTAGTACTGGAAAAAAAATTCCTACCAGCCATTCGTGCCCAGGCTCCTTCATGTCACAATAGGCCCCCATCTTACACGTTCCCACAGTGAAGTTATAGATACCAGATACCTTAATGCCTGCTGGTGCCAGATCTGAACAGTCCACAGGAGACTTGGAGGCTACAGAGAATGTGTATTGAGAAATAAATGAATGATATAAATTAATTGATTAATTTATAATCAAATAAATATATGATAATATAATTAATTTATAGATCCAAGACCCCTCATTTCTTGCTCCCTCCAGATTTGAACAGTGTACTGGTCACTTGGAGGCTGCACATAATGTGTATTCAGAAATAAGTGAATGAATAAGTAAATATATTAATTAATAATCAGATATATGCATAAATGAATAAAAAGATTGATAAATTGATAAATAATAAATGAATATTTATTTAGTAAGTTTCAAAAAGATAAGAGAGAAATTTTCAGTTTTAGACCATATAAAAACAATGTGATTTTAATTTGACCCATCATCTCTCACCTGGACACTTGACATTGGCAGCCAGGTCACAGTGACACTGAACAACGTTGAATCTCATACCGTGGGGACAGCTCAGGACTCTTCCCGAGGGGTTGGATATGGCCCACTGGACAAACTGGCCACACTGGGACCCCGGATAGATGACATAGACATTGTGCCACTTGTCCATGCAGCGGTTCTTGTCTATAGTGTGGAAATAAATAAAAATAAATAAATAATGAAATAATGAAATCGATAGGTAAATAAAGAAAGAAGCAAACAATGAAGTAAATAAATAAATACTTATTTAAGAATTTAAAAACGGTGCCTGCATGAAGTTTGTTATAATACGTTATGCATTTTTGAAGCAAAGAAAGTCCCTCTTCTCAGAAAGATTTAAATCAAGTGCAACAGATTAGAAATAAGAGAAAAAACCAAATTGCTGTACAAAGTTACAATAAATAAATATTTATAAAAAATGCAAAGAAAAATCTTAACATGGTGTTCAATACCTACCAGCAAAGCTCAGCTGCACCAAAACCAGAACTGAAACAACAGCAAACCAGACGGACCCCATGTTGCTGAAAGCAGTAGTGACCAAGTTCTCTCTAGTGACTCTCTAATATATAGCCAACAGCTTCATTATCAGGTACTAATCTGGAATAAAGGGAACAGTTTGGGATTGGCTGACAGAGATTCAGTTTTATCAGAGAAATTTCTGAATCATTGTCACAGTGATTACTCTGTAAGTTTGAACAGCATTGATTAATTATCACACTCTCCTCCAACCCCTATAAAATTGGAGATGGTTATTTTAAAAATAATAATCTTGTTAATTCAGAAGTTTTCAAAATTTTGTTAGTTTAGTGTCATTTGTATATAGTTCTGAATAAATAGTATTTTCAATGCCTAAAATGATAAAATTTAATCTTGAAGTAGCATATTATCAGAAAAACAAATAATTGGTTTGAAAATTCTAAGTACTTACCGTATTATGCTTGATATGGAAATTTGGTAATTTTACCCCACCTGATAGTAACAGTAGTAATGATTGGGCAAATTCTAAAACCGTCTGGAAAATATGTGGAGCATTTTAGGACAAAATCATCGTCACATCATGTTCAGTTCTGTAGATATTCACTCTGAAATTGGCTCTGATTTAAGACCCCAACAGAGTTGGTGAAATCGTAAATAGTCTTAATTCATGAGATTTTGATAAATGTCAGCTGTGGACCAATTATGGAGATTAATTAGTCGAATTATGGAGTCTAAATTAAGACTGAATCAGTGAGTGTTCAGATGGACTTGATTTTATAGTGTCTAGACTATTTTGGGGCTTTAATTTGAATCTGATGTGGACTGGTATCAACTATCTCCAATTTAATTTCATGCGGACACGAGTTAAGTATTTAAGGTTTTAATTTGAACCTGATGTGAATGGGTTTATCACACTGTGCAGTACTGTAATCCGTGTAAATCTGGTTTCAAGGCCCTGTTAAATATATTCATTACTAGGTTTTGGTTCTGCTTGAAACCACTATCACTATCAGGGTGGTTTGACAATAGATAAGACATCAGGGTGTTTTGTTTTTCTATATGTCAGTTAATTTCTTGATACATAGTTACCTTTGTTTAAAAAAATCTGATATGAAGGGATACACTCAGTGAAATGTGTTGATAAGTTTTTAACTGTCATGTTGTTGTTAAAAGTAAAATATAGTATATACATTTTATCTTCCATCTTATAAGTGCTTAAATCAGAATTTTGAAAATATTTGTTTGTTAATTGCTGAAATGTGCATAGTAATGCTTAGAATAAACATATGACATCTCAGTTTTTCAATTAATCAGATGTATTTAAGTAATTGGCCACTTAATGATCATTTTCATTGAAGATAGGCCCATATTTCTTAGGACTTCTCTTCTCTGTGGGCCTTTTGATTAAATGAGAATAACAACAGATAACAACCAGAAATAAGTCTGTTTCTTTTTATTTCGTATAGATAAAAAAAATCACATTACACCTACAGAATAATATCACAGAAGTAAAATCAAGTAAAGAAAGATTATATTCTAAGAGAAAAAGATGGGCTACAGCAAACTGAACTGAATTTTAAAACAGAAAAAAAAATCTCGTTTCAAATACTTCATTTGAAACATAAAAAGTCATACTCATATCATTTGAAACATAAAAAGTCATATATGTAATTAGTGGAGATAGAGACGCTGGATTTTAGTCATAAAATAGTAAAAAGAAAATAGAAATTGAACTCAAAAAACAGGTTGATATATCCTTTTTTCACTACAGCAATGGACAAGGTGTACCTTTGCGTTAAAGAGAAAAAACTGATGAAATTTAAAATATATATTTTTAGGGTAATTACATATTACATATTACACGTAAAAGGACATTTTCTGCCTTAAGGAGGTGTCTCTCATCATGTGTGTAAGGGTTTGAGAGCCATTCTGGTGGACTCCAGAGAGTACCAAATGCCTCGGAAAGTTTCGTAGTAGACACCATCGGGAACATCCCCGCTGTAGTTACCTTGATGTGTACCATTGCCATTAAGATTGGAACGAGTATCATCGCTGTACCACCAGCCGCCATGATGGGTGGCGGCCATGTTGTTGCAGTCAGCATCTCTGGTGCAGAACATCATGTTTTTGATACCAATAAATGAGTCTCCTGTTTAAAACATGAATGGATATTTTAAACACTGTTAATATGTTGAATTTTGGGCATAATTGGATACTTTTTCCCTTGTGAAGTTTTAAAAAATGTTTTAAAAATTACTTCAGGGACTCCAGCACAGACTAAAAATTAATGTTATGGCCAAATTTTTTTGAATGTAATATTTATTCCAATGCACCTGGGAGACTAAATCATCAATGTTCAACTATATACATCATTTTATGCAACAATTGACAAGCTTTTGGTCTTAACTTTTCATGTGTTCCTTTGAAAGGTCCAAGCTTGAGCAAAAATGTTCATTAGCTAGGTAGTTGGGTCATATATGACAATAATTATTAAACAGCTAGTTTGTTCACGAAACTCACCAATAATCCCCTCTTCGAGACCACCAAGATGGAGTCTGTATCCATCGCTAGGCCCACCTATGTAGAAATTTGAGAAGTATCCATATCCTGTCTTGCCATTAAAGTCCTTGAGATCAACTCGAAGGTTATATGTACGGATATTATTTGCTGGATTTGTTAACTGGTAGAGGTTCTGAAGTCCTAGAAAAAGATGGGTTATATATTAGTATGACAGTTTTTGTAATACTTTATGTTATGAAGTTGGGAAGTTTACAACTAAGAAAATCACTTGTAGATGTTTGCTGTCTCTGTTAACTGGTAGAGGTCAGGAGCGGATTTAGGCCGTCTTCTGGGTCTTCTGGAAGACGGTCAGATTTTCAAGTTTACATTGACGTGTATCGTATGTTTTTTGTCGGAAGACGGTCAAAATGGTGCATGGATCAACAAAGATAACTCGGAAGACTGTCAGAAAATATCACTAGATCCGCCCTGGAGGTTCTATTATTTTATTCTGAAGTGCTTGGTAAAAATATAGCTCTTTATTAACTGGGGCAGTACCATGTGTGTGTTTGTTGATTAAATTGGATTTTTAATAATAAAATAAAGCATAGATTAAATGTTAGATAAAGCTTTAATTTGCTATAGCCTGATGTTTTCTTTCTTTATATATATAAATACATATATATATAATTTTTTTTCTTGCAGTGATATCAACTATTAGTATGAAATAACACTTTTGGAAAAATGAAATAAGTTGATAATATTTTATTTTCATTAAAAATCCTATAAAGTCCCTTTGTTTATACATGCATATAGACACACACACACTTTGCCATTGAGCATTATTGAATATTTCAGGACAGAAAAATTAATAAAAACAAACCACTCACCCCACCAAAATTCAAATCCAAGTTGCCCAAAACCATTCTCGTAAGCATACATCCCCTGGTAAAAGTCCAGAGGCTTTTGAATACTGGTCTCTCGCCTTTGAAATACCTGGAATGGAATTTTACTTGAAAAGCTTGACATATCTTTTGATATCTATATGGATATACAAGGTATATCTGCAACATCCTGTCACTTTAAAATTTTTTTATCAAACAAATTTACATGTTTTAGAATATAGAAAAAGTGGAAAGAGGTTAGTAAACCAAGAAAGTCTCAAAAGAAAATGAAATGTATGTTAAATTTTTCCTTGTGAATGTGTTAGAGAGAGAGAGAGAGAGAGAGAAAATTAATGTGCATGTGTTTGTGAGTGAGATGTGTGTGTGTGTGTGTGTGTGTGTATGTGTGTGTGTGTGTGAAGGAGAGAGATAGATAGAGAAAGAAAGGGTGTTGATTGTTGGGAGGTGGGGACTGAAGGAGAAATCCTACCAGCCATCCGCCACCAGGTGTCACCATGTCACAGTAAGCTGTCATCTCCTGTGAGTTCACAGTGAAGTTATAGATCCCAGACACACTGATCCCTGCTGGTGGAAGATCTACACAGTCCAGGGGAGGGTTGGAGGCTGGGTTTTACCAATAGATAACAGACAAAAAAGTATGTATATTTACAAAAAAAAAAAAAAAAAAAAAATTAATAAAAATCTGTTGAAATGAAAATATGGTGATTTTTCTAATGATTACATAATTACTTAAATGCAATTATAACAAAGGAAAGCATTCTGCCCCCACCCTTAAAATTTTAAGATTTTATTTTATGGTATTTATTGTTTTAATACTTAAAATGAATTATGAAAATTTACAAGAGTTTGGTTTAACCTAATAACCATGAAAACAAGATATTTTGTCAGTCTTGAATTGGATTTTTTACTTATTTGGCTTGGAATTTTAACAGTAGATTACTTACATTTATGGAGAAGTTGGAACTTTTTATATACTGTAACATTAAAAAATATTTAAAAATACTATACTAGAAGTCTTGAGCTGATCATACATTAATAATTCTGTTTATTGATTAAGTATCAAAATATTGGTCACACGTATATTAAACAAAGTAAAACTAACCATTAAGATTAAGGCATAATTCTAAGATTACCTGGGCACTGTACCTTGGAGGCCAGATCACACTGGCATGGTTCTGTGTTGAACTTCATTCCTTTCGGGCAGTGCTGGAGACTACCTGAGGGATTATTGATGGCCCATTGTGCGAACACAGTACAGTCAGAGCCAGGGTAGATGACATACACGTTTCCTGAAGATACTGTGCACGAATTTTTCATCACTGCATCTGGAATTGGTTAGAAGACATATGAGAGCTATAAAAAATGTTTTCATTTTATTGTTTAGGTTTAGGTGTGTGTAGTATAATATGTTGTGAAAGTTTATCTTTGTAGGCCTCAGCATTTTTTGCCATTTTTCTGTCAACACCTGGAAAGGAAATAGTTTGATAATTAAAATTTCTGTGTATTTTAGAGAGAATCAAGTTATTCCTCTCATTTCTTAGAGAAGAGAGAATTTGAACTTTTTGTCATCTGCTACATGAAGAAAGAGTTTGATAATTCCCCAAATCTTTTAGGGTAAAAATTGATGATTTTTCTTGTCTCTCGTCTTATAGAAGAGGTAGCTTGAGAATTTCCTTCATCTCATATAAACCAGAGAGTTAGATAGCTTCTCTAATCTCTTAGAAAGCAGAGTTAGACAAAAAACATCAAAATATTGCCAAACTTTTCTTTAAAAGATGAAAGAATGACTAACTCTGCTTTCTTTGGAGAAAGATGTGTCACGTAAAATAGTTGGGTAATAACTGACTTATAATCTCACCAAGTCCATGTACTCCTGGATGTATATAGTCAGGTAGACATACCTGACATATTAAAACCTCTCAATGCACATGTTCTTAATGTATGTCAAGATTAAGATAAACCAATAATAAATTAGAATAATCCAGTAAATGTTCTACAGCATATTTGTAATATAACCATCATACATATCATGCCTGTAGCCAGGGAGGTGGGGGGGGGGGGGGGGATTGGAGTTGACCACTCCTTTTCATGGTTTTTGCCAGGTAAAAAAAATCCACTGTTGGTAAAAGTTGGGATCACACTGGGACCCTGGGTAGATGACATAGACATTGTGCCACTTGTCCATGCAGCTGTTCTTGGCTATAGAGAGGAAATAAATAAATAAATAAATAAATAAATAAATAAATAAATAAATAAATAATGAAATCAATAGATAATTTGAAATAATTTAAAAGAAAGAAGTTAACAATGAAATAAATAAATACTTCTTTAGATATAAAACAAATATAGCCTTTTATATAAGAAAGGAATTTTCAGATATAAAAACATGAATCTGATTTGGAACAACCCTGTGTAAAAAAAGTGTTCACTTTCAGAACACATGGGTTGAGCCCAACTATGTCTGTGATGGCAATGTCAGCTTAATAAAATAGAATAAAATGCCTGAACAAATGCTGATATTTGTCTGCCATCAAAATGTTAATACTTGTGCTGTAAGAAAATTAAGAAAAAAATTAAAAACAATGTCTGTATGAAGTTTATTATAATATGGTATGCAGTTTTGCAGCTAAAATTATTTAGTTCTATGCAAAGAAAGTTCCTCTTTTCAGTAAGTTTTAAGTTAAGTGCAACAGATAAGAAATAAGAAAAAAGCCAAATTGCTGTACAAAGTTACAATAAATAAATATTTTTTAAAAAATGCAGAGAAAAAACTTAACATGGTGTTCAATACCTACCAGCAAAGCTCAGCTGCACCAAAACCAGAACTGAAACAACAGCAAACCAGACGGACCCCATGTTGCTGAAAGCAGTAGTGATCAAGTTCTCTCTAGTGACTCTCTAATATATAGCCAACAGCTTCATTATCAGGCACTAATCTGGAATAAAGGGAACAGTTTGGGAGTGGCTGACTGAGATTTAGTTTTTTATCAGAGAAATTTCATTGGCACAGTGATCACTCTGTAAATTCTAACAACATTGATTAATTATCTCCCTCTCTCTCTCTCTCTCTCCCCCCGGTTATTTAAAAAATAATCTTGTTAATTTAAAAGTTTTGTAAATTTTGTTAGTGTTAAAAAGTGTTCTGGATGCCTAATATGATAAAATTTAATGTTGAAGTAGCATATTGCCAGAAAAACAAGTATAGTTGTTTGAAAATTGAAAGCACTTACCATATAATGCTTGATATGGACATTTGGTAATTTTACCCCTCCTGATAATAACAGTGGTAATGATTAGGCAAATTCTAAAACCGTCTGAAAAATAGGTGGAGTGTTTTAGGACGAAAGTCACCCTCACATCAGATTAAATACTATGTATATATATATATATATTCACTCTGAAATTGGCTCTGATTTAATCATAAACTTGTCTTAACTCGTGGGATTTTCATAAACATCAGCTGTGGAAAAATGATAGAGATTAAATTAGTTGAAGTAAGGCCTCTAAGTTTGGATTGAATTAGAGACTGTTCAGAAAGGCTTGATTGCTGTGTCTTTGAATTCAGATTCCATTTGGTTTTGGCATCTTACAAGTGCTTGCATCAGAATTTTGCAAATATTTGTCCTTTAATTGCTAAAATGTACTTTGATAGAGTATTATCTATGTAGTAATGCTAATAATAAATATGACATCTCAGCTTTTCAATAAAACAGATATAAATGAAGTAATTTAACATTTACGCTGAAGATTGGTCCACCTTTTTTGGGACCTCTTCTCTGCAGACCTTTTAATTAAATAAAAACCACAGAAGATAACAACCAGAAATAAATCTTGTTTCTTTTTATTTCTTATAGATAAAAAATTCATTAGACCTACAGAATGAAATCACAGATGTGAAAACAATTAAAGGAATATTAAAGATGGGCTACAGCAAACTGAATTGAATTTTAAAACAGAAACAAAATAAATATGGTTTCAAATACTTTATTTGAAACATAAAAAGTCATGCTCATATATGTAATTTATAGAGATAGAGACAATGGATTTTAGTCATGATATAGTAAAAAGAAAATAGAAATTGAACTCAAAAACAGGTTGATATATCCTTATTTTCACTACAGCTTTGGACAAGGTGTACCTTGGTGTTAAAGAGAAGAGATTGATAAAATTAAAATTATATATTTTGGGGGTGATTACATATTACATTTAAAAGGACATTTTTTGCCTTAAGGAGGTATCTCTCTTGATGTGTATAAGGGTATGACAGCCATTCTGGTGGACTCGAGAGAGTACCAAACACCTCCGAACGTTTTGTAGTAGACACCATCGGGAATATCTCCAGTGTAGTTACCTCGATGCGTACCATTGCCTTTTAGATTGGTACGAGTATCATCGCTGTACCACCAGCCGCCATGATGGGTGGAAGCCATGTTGTTGCAGTCAGCATCTTTGGTGCAGAATGTCATGTTTTTGATACCAATAAATGAATCTCCTATTTAAAATAAGAAGGGTTTTTTTAACACAAATTATATTTTTAATTTAGGTTAGAATTTGATCATTTTTACCTCTTCTTGTTATTAAAAATGTTTTGAAACTTACTTCAGGGACTCCAGCACAGACTAAAATTTAATAGTATATCCCAAAATGTTTTGAATATTTTTATTCCAAAGCATTCTGGGAGACTAAATCATCAATGTTCAACTATATACATCATTTTATGCAACACAGTTGACCAACTTTTGGTCTGTACTTTTCTAGTGTTACTTTTACAGGTCTAAGCTTGAGCAAAAATGTTCATTAGCTAGTAGTCTAGTGAGATTTTTGAAAAAAGGCTCTGCATAAGAGGCAAGGGGCATTTTGGGGTAAAAGTTGGGAACCAGGCTTATTAGCATAATTTTGGGATGCTGAATCCGATTTACCCGGTTCCCAAGCGAAATTTTGCGTTTTTAACGGTCTTATTTGCAAAAAAACAAAATGGCCGCCAGATTTCCTATTTTCTGCAATATCTCTGGAACTAGACAGGCAAATATTACAAATAAAGTGTCTTTACCTATATTTTCAGGGTCGAGGAACATTATTAAGATGTTTCTGTTAGAATTAGATTTACGCAATTTTCCAAAATATGCAAATTAGGATCGCCATTACTGAAAAACCGTTTTACCTCTGTATCTCTGTAACTAGGCAAGCAAACATGACAAATGAAGTGTCTACACCTATGTTCTCAGGGTCAGGGAATGTGATAAATCAGATTTCTTGTCTGATGGGTAGCACTGACTTTGTGAATTATGTCTGAGTAGCACCTTTTATTGTTTCTTCCCTGTATCTGTCAAATACTAGTCAATCTGCTGATAGTTAGAACCTGCCTTCAGAACTGCTCTTACGTACGTGTCAGCCAAACTACCAAAGGTCACTGCCTTGTCAGACCTTCCCAGTGAAATTACCAGTGCTTGTCCATCAATTATAAGGCAAGATGAGCAGAGGCGGATCCAGGATTATTTGAAGGGGGAGTCCGCGGATGCAAAGCCCCCCCTCCCCACTTGGCAACGGGTAAGGGGCCTGTTGAAGGGCCACGAAAATTTTTGGTATTTAAGAGGGCGAACGGTGCCATTTGATATGGTTTACAACTATGATTCAGCTGGTCAAAATTATAATTTCAAGGGGGACCCCCCCCCCCCAAATCCGCCACTGGGTGAGGAGTCATTTAGTTTAATTTCATCAGGGCAGAATACGTCTTCTGTTAACCTTTCTGTTACAGATTTGGCCTCAAGGAAATCGTTTAGAAGCTTGAGAAACTGCTCAGACTTGCTATTAACACAGAAATGCTTTTCGTATCGTCAATCATTTAATTGGATTCAATAGAATATCAGAAGATTAAAGCAAAAATTCAAGAAATTTTGTTAATTAAAATGAAACGATACTAATGGGTTACCAGTAATAAGCTAATGGAAAAATCGCTGAAATGAATGAGGTGAGATGTCATAGTGCACTTGAAGTATACACATACATATTGACATTTAATATGGAATATTTTAGTTTAAAAGGAAAGTGTTGATAATAAATTAACTTTTTAGAAAAATTGATCACAAACGACAATTGTGACCAGGTATATGTGTAGCCAGGTGTGTTGGTTACTGTTCATTAGGCTGCTTTCTCTGAAGCACGGTTATATTACGTAATATGTGGCAGTTTCTCTGAGCAGTCCTCTTTGACTGGTTACAGAATGCGTATAAAAGGGCAGCAGTTATGCAGAATAAGTCTCTATATTTCGGCAGCGTCCAGTCAGAAGAGTTTGATATTTTTCAGACTCTTAGCAGACCTTACGGTATGTGAACTAACGGCAGCGACTTGCCACACTATTGTTGCATTATGTCAGAATGGACAGAAGCAAACTGCTATTGCCAGACAGCTGAATGTGTCCTAGGGAGCAGTTTCTAACGTCTTACAGAAACACGCCCAGACTGGTGCATTAACACAGAGACCACGGCCAGGACGTCCTTAAGTCACCACCAGAAGGGAATACCGCTTGCTTCTGCGGTTGTGTCGTAACAACCGGAGAAAGACAACTCTTGCTGTACAAAATGAGTGGCAAATTACCATTCAAAAGCATGTTTCTAAAACTCTAGTGAATGCAAGGCTACTTTTAGCTGGTTAACTCTATGAACAGAGCAACATGGTGGGCTAGACACCATTTGCGGTTCCAGGCACAGCACTGGGTTCATGTAGATTTTTACAGATGAGGCAGGGTTTGAATTCCACCACCGCGATGGCTGAATCAGAGTCAGTAGGTTTCTAGACGAGTTACTGCACGAGGATTGTGTCACACTACAGTGACTTGTGGCCGTGGCAGTATCTCTGTATGGGACGGTTTCCACTCTGGAGCCAAAACAATATTGCTGGCAATTGACGGAAACTTCAACCAGATAAAATACAGGGACATTTTAGAGAGTACTTGCTTGCAATTTGCAAGAAGGTACTTCAGGACAACTTCATCCTGCAAGATGACAATGCCCGACCACACCATGCCCATGCAATAACTGCTTTTCTGCAAAACTAAGAGGTAAACCAGTTGCCTTGGCCGACGAAATTCCCCTGACATGAATTCTATAGAAAACCAGTGGGCATAAATCGCTAGCAGAATCAAGAGTTTACCCGTCCAGCCTACAAATCGGCACAAGCTTATGCAATCTCTGACTAATGTGTGTAACACAATACTGGATCATACTCTCATAAACCTCTCTGCATGGAATGAGGGCTCTGGTTGCAGCTAGAAGAGCCTGCACGCGTTGTTATCAGTTTCCATTTTTCACATTTGTCTTGATGATTCTTTTGTGTGAGAGAAAATTCTTACCAACTGATATTCTTGATAATATCGAGTTCATAAGAATTTAATACCTCGTTGTTATCAGCTATAAAATTATCCATGCGCTGTTTATAACGCTGATATGAATACGTATTTAAATTAAATTTTTGATGATGTATTCACACGGGTTGATTTATTAAAGCCATATCGAACACGATAACAAGGGTTTTTTTCATCCATTACTAATATATGGGAAAAAAGAAAATATGTTTGAAAAAATCCATTTTAAATGTGAGGTCTGTACATTGCATCACATGAATTACATGATTCGGCAAATCCCTCCATTGCATTAATAAGGTAATCTTTTTTAAATCTAGGTAAAAGGGGCAGTTGTGTGATCCAATATGTTTACATCCCACTGGCAGCGCAGTATTTAATTGCAAAATTCAATTCAGATTCGAATAATTGCTACAGTGTGACAGTGTAGCACTCATTGCTGATTTGATTATAGTGAAAATGTCTTAATCACTTTCCCTAATGCTAAAAACATGGGTGTGGGCACTTAATATGTCATGTTTGCTTGCCTAGTTAACGCAAAAGCGGTTCTGAAGGCAGGTTCTAACTATCAGCAGATTGACTTGTGTTTGACAGATACAGGGAAGAAACAATAAAAGGTGCTACTCGGACACGATTCACAAAGTCAGTGCTACCCAAAAGACAAGACATCTGATTTATCAAATTCCCTGACCCTGATAACATAGGTGTAGACACTTCATTTG